AAATAAATGAATATGGTATATTCATCTAAGTGAATATATGCTAAAGAAAGTGGTCGAATAAGCCTTACGAGATTAAATTCGAACAAAGTGCATTATAGCATTAGCATTTTCACTTGGCATGTGTGATACTATAATGACATATAGGCTTATGTGCGTGATATTGTGGTTTTAGTTTTACGTATGATTTTTTATTTATGAATGTGGTTTGGTTAAGTGATGTGTATGACGTGGCTTTTGTTTGTGACCTTGTCGTATGAAGTAATTGCTTGCATATAATTGTGTTAGCTAATTTTTATAGTTATTTAGAAGAAAAGAGTCAAGAAATTATTTCATAATGATCTTATATTATTTGGATAGAAATACCATTGGAACTCCAGAAGAGCTTCATGAAGCAATAGATTGCTTAGAGAAAGAAATCAAACATGAATGATTTAAGAAGGTTCTTTTATTGGATCAAGAAGATCAAATCGAAAAAGTGAAAGAGCAATTTTGTATGAAAAATGACCTAAGTTTAGCAGCCTAATGATCATATGGTCATTAGAAGTGACAAATGATCCATTTAGGCCTTGAGATCGAAATGAATTATTAGATCCTGAAGTCCCGTATATTGATGTCATTAGAGTGCTAATGTATCTTGCTAGACATACACCATTTAGCATTTACTCGTCCCGAATATCACAATAAAACTCCCAATTAGGGCCAAATTATAAACCTTAATTGGGTGCAATATAGGCCAAGTATCTTTAAATATCAACCCAGACCGGTCTATGTACCACTACTTTGATTGTTTGAAACATTATCAAGCGATTGGTTTTTGGTGAAAACAACGATCTATAGCTAAAATGTTTGGAAAAGTAAATGGAGTTGACACTAACTGAAAAGGTTTCACCCGGGTGTTGGTCCCCCTAGCTAGCAGTTATGACCTGTAGGATCGAATGAACATATGTGGTAAGGAGGTTGTAAACCGTAGGGAAGTGCAGCAAGTGAACAAACGCCACTATCTCGGTCAATAGGTCAAGCCACCAACATAACTCTCTTGACCTATTGAGTAAGGGTTGCCAAGACTTCACCCTCGAATCGGAGTTTGGATGACCAAATTACAACCAACCCTAGGTGCTAATACGAACAAATAGGGTTGCCCTACATTAATCTAGATAGGAGACAAGATTTGCCTAAAAAAACTCAGCTTTACAAGCTTCTTTCAAAGAAAGGGGGTTTCCTCTCTACCTAGGTTAGAATGACAAATATATTGATTGGAAAACACACAAAACAGTCTTCCATGAAAATACCTCCAAATTCATATTAAAATACATCCACACATAAATCATTCAACACATACAAACATTGACATAATTGTAGCTAGGATTTACAAACACCCAAGTGAAATAAGGGACTACTCCATGCTAGGAGAAGGGAAACCATGATGGAGATTCTAGTCTTGCTCCTTGTGTTGAAGAGATTCTCCTTTGGGGAAGGAATTCTTAAAACCTTGCATGAAGATGAAACCCTAGCTTCTTCTCTTCTTTGGTTCATCACTTTCTCACTCTAGAAATCTGAAGAAGAAAAAGAAGTTTCTCACACTAGGTCTCTCCTCCTTTTCTTCCTTAAGCTCAATCCTCTTTTATACCCAAGTCGAGCTCCATTGACGGTCCCAGTTCACGGTCGTGAACATCTGACGGGGATCGTGAACTGGAGCAAAAACACACTGCGTCATTTAAGATCTTCACAGTCTCTGGCTTTGGTTCACGGTCTTACGACCGTGAACTGACTTGAGTCCAGTGAGACTGAAAATGGCTCTGGATGCATGGTGCTTCACGGCCGCTGATTCAGTTCACGGTCCTCCTGACCGTGAACTCTTTGCTTCTGCCGTGAACTGCGGTTGCCTCCCTCCTTTGACCCGACTTTGCGCCCCTTCGTCCAACTTCCGACTCCGGGGCTGGTTCCACCTGCTGGAGTCTGAAAAATGCTAAAACAAGGCTAAACCTAGCGTAAAACCAAACCTCTCAGAGTGCAAATGCCTCAAATGCCTAAGGAAAATGGGGATAAAAAGTGTACAATTTAGCCTGAATCGAGAATATCATTTGGTTTTAGTATATTAGCAAGATATATTTTTCTCTCTGTAGATGACAATCAAACAGAGTTGAGCTTATACTTTGTCACCTTCAGGTAACGATGAGAATCAAAGATAATTTATTTGTTTCGTTATGGTCATACAACTATCTTATGGAGATTCTAAACAAATCATAAATGCTACATCATCAGATCATGCACAGTGGTTAGCATTCATGAGACATTTTATGAACTATTTGGTTAAGATTTGTGACTCAACATGTCTAAATGACTTGTGGTTTTAGACAGAGAAACTTGCCATGACTATATTTAAAAGTTTTGTTCCCAAAACTACACTTCAAAGTTGTCATGAGGGGGAGCATATACGCACTGCACTCTTTTTTTCTTAACCATGGTTTTTCCCACTGGGGTTTCCTGATACGGTTTTTAACGAGGCAGTTCAGATAGCGTATTATGATTATGCACTCTTTTTCCTTCACTAGTATTTTATTAATAGGGTTTTTCCTAGTAAGGTTTTAGTGAGGCATATTCTTAATAAATGGACATCTAATGGGGAGTATTATGAACATCTATGTAGTATTGTGGATGTCCATTGGATTCTACATTGGATGTTACTTTTGATTCCATATGGGATGTTACATTAGGAGGTATTTACCTCCCTACATTGATCATGGAAATGAATCCTCTTTATGATTATTGTATCACATTCATGTGCATTGATAGAGGGGATTGTAAAGGTTATGTATATGTGTCTATAAATAGAGCACCCAAATATACAAAAGAATAAGATGAATAAGAAGAAGACCACTTCTCCCCTTTTTTCTTGTGTCTTTCCTATTTACTTTTATTCTTCTTTTCTTCTCCATTTGTATAATTTTCATAACAATTATAGATTTTTTGAAAGGTGGCGTGTTTTTTGGGTCGGGAGTAATCAGCTAGCAACTATGAAGAGATATTTGTAACCTCCAACAAAAATTCACTAGACCTATCTCATTCGAATTCAGTTACGAGAAAGTTCACTCAGGTATTAGCTTGGAATCTAAACTAAAGTAAACCAGACTAAAGTGTCAAGGCAATGAATCATTTATCCTCAATCGATTCACCACTTCCAAGTGAAGTTTCTCTCTTAACCTAATTAGATGGTCTCTTTCCTAGGTTAAAAAATTAATCAAAATAATGTGAGCAAGACTCAATCAATCCTGAAAAATGCTTCAATTGAATATAATCAATCAGTTCGACAAACCAAGGGTCCATACAACGTTACCCTAACATCCAGAAGTAGGATTCTTTATACTCAAGTGAAGATAAAGTTTACTCTATGGAGAAAGATTTAAGCACGAAGGTTGAAGTAGAGATCATCATGCTAGCGGTGAAAATCTGCCCCAGGTCGTCGGCCTCCACTCCAACGAAATGAATCCAAGCTCCAATGGTCAAAGGATGCACACATAAGCTCCTAGGGTGAACTTTTTGACATTTTCTCTCTCTAGAAGTCTCTTACCTCGTTATCAAATAAAGAAATCGAATCCCTTGCAAAAACCCCGAAAGTCCAATTTATAACCTCAACTGAGAGTTCCCTAGTCTTGTTCCACGGTCGTGGAGTTGGATTTCCCAACCGTGTAACACCTAAACGCACCGTTTGACTTGAGTTGCACAAGGCGACTTCCAAGGTTTCTCCTCTCTATTCCATGATCGTGGAATGCCATCCATCAGATCGGGAATGCTCTGTCTGTGTTCCATTGTTGTTACTAAAGATCCACGGTCGTGGGACAACCTTCCCAGACCATGAAATTCAGCTTCTCATCCTCCAAGTCCCATATGTTCTCCAAATTCCTCCTCCTAGGTTCTCATTCACTTTCTATGGTCTGAAATACAACAAATAGGCATAGCCTAGCATGAAGTCGGCTTAAAATGCAAGAAGTCAATCACAAACTATCAACAATGAGGTAATAAATATGTGTATTGGTGATGTTTTCAACGTTATCTTACTATTGTCATATTCTTGATTTATATGATAGTGGTATGATGGTATTGGTAGCATATGGTAAGACCATTGTATATAAGTGGTATGATTATAGTATAAAGTGTTATCGTAGTGGTAAAGGTTATGGTATAACTGTGATAAAGTGGTGCTATGAAGTATTAACATAGTGGTGAGATCATGATATGATAGTGATAAGATAATTGTATGAAATTTTACCACAATGGTACGTAAGATAATTGTATGATCGATGTTGATAAGATGAAAGAAAAATCCAAGATAGCAAAATGGATATAATTATTTACTTCATAATTAATGTATTTTTTATGTAATAATTATGAATTTCTAGTTAAAATGAAGAAGATACGATTGAAAAAATAGACTTTCACTGGTTAAAATTCCTTTCTCATTTAGAAATTGCATGTAGTAAAAAAAACAGATAAAGGGTGAAAATATTGGTTTCAAATGTCGGCTATCCATCAATAGTCTATTTAAATATATATAGAAAATCTATGACATATAAGTAAATAATATAAATATATATAATCAAGGAACATATTTAAAAATTTATCCGCTCTTTCCCCGAACCATACTCTTCTTTCTTGTCCACTAGCTATACACGAATCGCATACAAACTATGACCACGACTTGGATGCATAAAAAGAAAAGTCTCATCTCTCATTAGATAATGTAACACCACACCACATGTCCAGTCCACTAAACTAAACAACAAGGAATAGTTAAGGCAGAAGAATAGTATACCAATTCAGCTAACCGGCGCTATAGGAGAAGAAAGCTGAAATATTCAAACTTGGAGTCGCCAACTAATATATACATAGAGCTGATTAGCTGCTGCTGCCTCCAAAACTCTGCAGGATATCTCCTCTGTACTATCTTTTTTTTGTCTTTTGGGATCCAAACATTACCACTTGACTTGCCTTGACCCACCCACCCCATTCTTTCCTTTAATTTGCTGCTTGTTCCCTCTCTACCTCCCCCCGTAATTATATATAAATACCCAACTCCCCAATCGCATATCCCTCAGGAAAGTAGCTAGCTCGCTATCTTAAGCTTGCAAAAAGTTCCCCATACTCACTTATTATTGATTGTATCAATATATACATAACGACTCCGGCCAAAGATCTGCCACCAACCCCTCCGCCGCAAGCTAAGCAAATGGAGTACTCCCTCCTCCAAAGCGCCCTCTACCTCGCCCTCCCTCTTCTCCTCCTCCTCCTCCTGGTTCCATTCCTCACGCGCCGCCGCAGCCGCCTCCCACTCCCGCCTGGGCCCAAGGGCCTGCCCATAATCGGTAACATGCTGATGATGGACCAGCTCACTCACCGTGGGCTTGCCAAGCTAGCCCAGCAGTGGGGCGGGATCTTCCACATGAAGATGGGGAACCTCCACATGGTGACGGTGTCGTCCCCGGAAGTGGCGCGGCAGGTCTTGCAGGTTCAGGACAACATCTTCTCCAACCGCCCCGCCAACATCGCAATCAGCTACCTCACCTACGACCGCTCCGACATGGCCTTCGCCCACTACGGTCCCTTCTGGCGCCAGATGCGCAAAATCAGCGTCATGAAGCTCTTCAGCCGCAAGCGGGCCGAGTCATGGGAGTCCGTCCGAGACGAGGTCGACTCCATGGTCTCCACCGTTGCCGCCAACGCCGGCAAGGCCATGAACGTCGGGGAGCTCATCTTCACCCTCACCATGAACATCACGTACCGTGCGGCTTTCGGCTCCAAGAACGAGGGCCAGGACGAGTTCATCAAGATTCTCCAGGAGTTCTCCAAGCTGTTTGGGGCTTTCAACATTGCTGATTTCATCCCTGGGCTAGGATGGATGGACCCACAGGGCCTCAACTCTAGGCTTGTCAAGGCCAGAGGTGCTCTTGATAAATTTATTGATAAAATCGTGGACGAGCACCTGGAGAAGAGGAGGCTCAACCAGGCTGACGATCCTAACCCGGACATGGTGGACGAGTTGCTGGCTTTCTACGACGACGACAACAACAGCAACAAGAACAAGGCTACCGATAACTCCGCCGACTCTCTAAAGCTTACCAAGGACAACATCAAAGCCATCATCATGGTACGTCTTTCTAATAATTCATAGAGATTTCCCCTTAATTAATTTGTTTCCCCAATTACGTACGTGTAAAACTTTCATAACTAAACTTTCAAAACAAACTTACCGGGGGGAAAAAAGCTATAGGTTTTGTATTATTGATAGAGAGCTGAACTTGTCGCGTTGATAATTTGATTGCCCAGGACACGTAAGGGTTGAGGAATCATGTTTTAGAATCGCGTGAAGCATAAATTACATTAAAAACAACTAAGCCTACGCTTTGGATTAGTGTCCATATAATAATGTCATCAACTTGGACTCCATCATGTATGACTTGCTGGCTGAAAAGATTTGTATGAGGGAAAGTAATTTTGCACTGAGTTTTTTTTGGAAATAGAGTAAGAAAAAAAATTAATGGGGTTGTTGTGTTGGGATTGGTTTGGCTGCAGGATGTTATGTTTGGTGGGACTGAAACCGTAGCGTCGGCAATCGAGTGGACAATGACTGAACTGATGAAGAGCCCGGAGGACCTGCGAGTGGTTCAGGAAGAGCTGGCGGAGGTTGTCGGCTTGGACCGCCGGGTTGAAGAGAGCGACTTCGAGAAGTTGAGCTTCCTGAAGTGCACGTTGAAGGAGACGTTGCGTCTCCACCCGCCAATTCCGCTGCTCCTCCACGAGACGGCGGAGGATGCCGAGGTGTGCGGCTATTTCGTTCCGAAGAGGTCGCGGGTGATGATCAACGCGTTCGCAATCGGGCGTGATCGGAACTCGTGGCCCGACCCGGACACATTCAAGCCGGCCAGGTTTCTCAAGGAAGGGATGCCAGACTTCAAGGGGAGCAACTTCGAGTTCCTGCCGTTTGGGTCGGGTCGGAGGTCCTGCCCAGGGATGCAGCTGGGTCTGTATGCACTAGATCTTGGGGTGGCCCACTTGCTCCACTGCTTCAAGTGGGAGCTGCCCGACGGGATGAAGCCCAATGATTTGGATATGAGTGATGTTTTCGGACTCACCGCTCCTCGGGCCACCCGACTCGTGGCTGTGCCCACTCCGAGGTTGACATGCCCGCTGTAACTATTGCTTTCTCATTTGTAGACTATTTTTTCTTCCTTATTTTTTCTGAAACAAAAGAAGATACTGGAACTATAGGTGTCAAAACAAAACTCGACTCGAATAATCCGCTCGATCACCTCGATCCGTAACCCGACCGTAATCCGAATCGACTTAAAGTTAATGACCCGCAATTCGTCCGACTTGTAACCCGATTGACCCGCAACCTGATTAATTCAAACCTGATTGACCCACATCCCGATTAAACCCATAACCCGATTAACCCGAACCCAATTGACTTGAAACCGACTAACACGCGACCCGCTCGATTGACCTGAATTAGTATATTATATAACATATAGTCTTTCAACAAAGCTATCAATTAAATATAAATAGAGTAAATTTTGTATTTGATAATTTGATTATCTTATAACAAATGGGAAATTAGATATCGTCATATTATAATATAAATAATAAGAAGAATTATAATGATCAAATTATAATACAAATCCTAAGATAATCTGTTGATTTGGCTGCGATGATGTGACTAAAAATTGGCCAAGGCTCGAGAAATGTTTGGCAAATCATCAGATTATAATGTGTGACTAAGAATTATAATGATCAAATTATAATACAAATTTCCTTTTTCCCCTTCCGTTCCGTACTTCCGTCCCCTACAAACTAGCGATCCTTCCTTTCTCTCTCTCTTATTTTGAAATTGACATTCATTCTTTATTAACTATTAATTTTTTATTTATTTATGATTACAGATTCTGGTTACCGGAATCTGGAAACCAAAAAGGTCGCCGAAATTAGGTCGTCAGATGTTGAAGTACCGTCACCAACAACCAAATTTTGAGAACAAATCATGATTCTGGTTGTCAGTGGCCGAATTTCGAAGATGGAGATGAGGGTAGAAGAATGCACACCAGAAGTCGCATAATGAATACCAGAATGCACGAATGCATACCAGAAGCTACTAAATCAATACCACAAATCTTTGAATCGATGCCACAAACCTAAAAATCTATACCAGGTACGAATGCATAACCGAAGTAACTTAATCGATACAAGAAAGCTGATAATCAAAACTTGTTACGAGTGAATGCCATAAATCACCAAATCAATACCAAAAATTGGTAAATGCATACTAGAAAATCCGGGAATGAATTCCAGTTACTATTTAACAATGCAAACCAGAACTTGCATAATCAACACCATAAATCGGATAATAAACACCATAAATTGCCCAATCAACACCATAAATCGCATAATCAACACCAAAAGCTTTCCAATCCGTACTCTGACAAATCAATGCCACAAATAACCACCAATGCCATAAATTTAAACATCTTTACAAAAAGTAACCAAATTGATACCAGAAATAATAACTCAATATAATGTAGATTAGAAATCTAAAAATCAATATCCGAAACCTAAAAGTGAATGCCTTATCCATACCAGAACATGCATTATAAGTACCGATAATAGCCTAACCAATATTAAAAGCATGTGAATCTATCAGCGATGCCGAGCACCACTGATTCATTCATTATCGTTTCTCCAATAAGTCCACCTCGCACATGCCCTCCAGCTATCCAGCGCCCAAATCACGTTCTCGTCAATATAAGAAAACACCATATCTAGCCGAGTCAACACACTTGCTGACGATGACTGGCGGGAGATCCACTCCACCATGAGCTCTTAGATCTTCCTCTCGTTTCTCGTTCTATTCATCTTCCTCTGTCGTTTGTTCTATTCATCTTCTCTGGCGCCACCAACAATGACTTCCATGCCGTTATCAAGATATGAGATTTGAATCCCTAAAAATCAGCTAAACTCAAGAGTTACTGGACAACAAAATAGCTACGGGTTGAACAGAGACGAAGAAAGGGGGTGAACAGAGACGAAGGGAGGAGGCGAAAGAGACAGAGTTGCGAAAGAGATTGAGATGAGGATGAAAGAGGAAAGAGAAAGATGAAAGAGGAAAGAGAAAGAGGAAACGATGGGATTAAGAAGATCTGGAAAAATTGATGGTGAATGAGGAATATATTTCTTTAATGTTTTTTGTTTTGTTTTTATTTTTAAAGTTTTTGTTGGTTTACCTATTTTCCCTTGTTGTTATAATATTCTATCTGAGCCCAAAAAAGTATGGGCATTGGGCGGGTCTTTTTGATGAATCATTGGGGTAAATTATTAAAATAAATAGTTATATTATTGTTTCTTTTATGTGCATTAAGAAATGGTACGATTCATAAAATGAATCTATTCTTGTTTGTTATGTTATATCATATTTAGTAAATTTGGGTAGGATGTTTAAATGGTTACCATGATAATTATCAAATTAATTAAGTCAAATTCTATTAATCATGGAATACAATATCATAACCAAACCGACCAAATTAATATAAAAATTAAATTAACCAAATTAATATTTAATCGTGTCAGTTAATTTGTTAACCGTGTAAGCCAATATATCATACATTATGATTACCTAAAAATATTTTGTTAGTGCATCAATCTCAAATGCATATTATTTAGGAGTTTAACATTTGATTATCACAATGTTTACATATGATAATATAGGAGTTTAACATTTAGTAACCATGATATTTTCTATAGCAAACCTTATTGTTGTCTTATTGGACAATGCCTAATTTTATATAGTAGACTTAGGAGCAATATAATTATTTATCTTATCTTAAGAACATCACTTGAACTATTTTAAATGTAGATTATTTTACATGATAGATCGTATACCTAATTATTTACCAATATGATTATCATAATCATAATCTTTATAATTATGAATTAAGAGTTTAGGATTTAGTTACTAAGACACTATCTATAATAAATCTTATTACAGTCATATAGGGCATGGCTAATTGGTTATAATAGATTAGATAACATATTATAAACACTTCTACATTGTAGCTGGATTTCAACCGGGAATCCGAGTACAAAGAAACTGTAATTGTAGCGGTTATTATCTTTTCTCTTCCATTTAAATATTTGCCCGCATATGACTAAATCAAAACCGCATCTTAAAAAAATTGCGGCAATTTCATTCTACTAATCTATTAAATTTTACTAAAATGAAGAATCATTCTATTAATCTATTAAAATTAACATTTGCGGCAACTTCATCTTGTTACAATTTTTTGAAGTAGGATTGATCAGTATGTTTTTTTTTTTACAACAAGATATAATCCGAGCAATAAATGTGTTTGTAATCCCTATGTGGTGAGCTGCGAAGTGACAGTGGCGGAGTTTGAGTTGGTGGTTTGGATTACCTATGAAGGGAGAACCGGAGAAGGAGAATGAAGGGAAGGAAAACATAGCACGTAAAGGTAAGGGTTCTCATATTTATTTTTCTTATGGCTTTATGTATATGATATCGGGAACGAAAATTGGGGAGGGAAACGTGGGACAAAATGAAAATGAAAAGGGGTTAAACTTTCCCCAATTTTATTCAGACTAGAATGGACGGATAATTTTGCTCCAAGAATGTGGAATTTTTACAATTACAATATGATTGACGGCAAAACAATTGCGAGCGGCCAAAATGGAGCCCAAATTTTCGGATGGACAATAAAAGTGTCCATTTCTAGTTGAGTACTTGATTTCTAATTCTAATGTGTGTTTTTGGAGTTCCAAATTCCGTTTTAGAATAATAAGATTTTCCCTTATCATAATACTGAATCGCTATTCGTCGCCCTAAAATTTCAATTTTTTCGCCCTAAATCGTACTAAATTGACGTTTCTACCCTTGTGCCCAATTTCAGTCCGCAATCTTAACTTATTTCCTCATCCCACCAACCAACCAAATTCCGGCAGCTGCTGTTCCCCCAATCTGCCGCAGCTCCCATTCCGCCAGACCGCCGACAAACAATGCTTCCCGCGTAGTTCGTGGCGGAGACGGAAGGCAGAGGGCTTCTGGCGAGCTGGTGCAGGCAAGAAGAGGTGTTGAGACACCCAGCGATTGGAGGTTTCTTAGCTACATGAGTTGGAATTCGACACAAGATAGCGTCTCTTGCGGCGTGCTAGATATGATTGAAGGGAAATCGAATAAGGTTATGGGACGCCGACGCTTCAAGGGTGGGAGAACATGACGACGCTTCAATCCATATCCGGAGAGAGAGAGAGAGAGAGAGAGAGAGAGAGAGAGAGAGAGAGAGAGAGAGAGAGAGAGAGAGAGAGAGAAGACGCAACGATGGGTCATGACAGGTGATGTCCAATCAGTGAAGAGTAGGCGAAGCTCGGTGGCCGAGCTCCGACGTACTATGGCGGGGTGGAAGGTTTTTGTGGCAGACATACGGTGGAGAGAATCTTTCTTATTTTGGTTTTAAATTAATTTTTTATTTTTTTATTGTGAGGTGGAATTCTTATTTGATTATATTTTATATTTGATTATTTTTTGTTATTGGGTATATTTCTTTGTGTATGTTTTAGTATTTATGTGGTTTTGAAAAATAAAGACTACATTAAGGTTATTTAAGTCATTCTATTATGTGGTCTGTTGGGAAGGTCCTGAATCTTTGGAGCACCTTTTTTTGGATTGTCCGGTTGCGCGTGCTATATGGGGGGCAGCGGGGCTGGAGCACTTAGGGGAGGGTTTGCCCCGTGATAATTTTCCCCTGTTCCTTAAAAAAGTATTGGGTCTAGTACCTCAGCCTTCGCAGTGGATGGCCATTATTGCAGTCCTGTGGCGTATTTGGAAATCCCGTAACTGGGTGGTTTTCGAGGGAAAGCAGTTCAGCTTACCGGTTCTTATGCGTCAATTTATGCAGCAGGTGGAGGAATGGGTGCGTCTCCCGGTGGATGACCATCATTCAAACCCGGTCATGGAAGATCTTGGGTCTAGGCAGGTAGACCCTGGTGGGTTGGTTTGTAGGTGGGATGGAGCTACGAGGAGGGGGTCGCATGCGGCGGGGGGAATGGTTCTTATGACTCCCTCTGGTGATATCCACCGGGTTAATGGGGTTCACTTCCAAGACCAAGATGATCCGGCGACTGTGGAACTTTTAACGTTGCGTGAGGCTATTCGTTGGTGTTTGGGACAAGGGTGCTCTGCTGTCCAATTTGAA